GAATTGAGTTATGGGAGCTTATATGAGATATGCCGCTTTAGAAGTGTGGAGATGTGCTCATTGTGATTATTACGAAGCCTGTTTAATGATGTAGAGGAAGACAAACTCATGCATACATGTGCATGCGGAAGTTTCTTCAATTGAAGGTACATTTCCCATAGGTTAAATTTGATATGTTTTTTTTTTTTTTAAATTATTCCATTATATCCTTTTAGACACAGACTTTAAATCTGGAATATTCAAATCCAAATCCATTATAAAAATGTTTAAACTGTGTTCATCTGAACTAAGATCAATATAAACCTTTCCAAAATACATTACCAGCCAAAAGTAATAATTTTTCATGTTTTTGAAAGAAGTCTCTTCTGCCCACCTAGTCTGCATTTAAAAAAAAAACTCAAAGCCATAATATTGTGAAATAATTCTAGAATTTAAAATGTTTTCTATTTTAGTATATTTTGAAATGTAATTTAGTCCTGTGATGAAAAGCTGAATTTCAGTGTCACATGATCCTTCAGAAATCATTCTAATATGCTGATTTACTGCTCAAGAAACATTTCTTATTATTATCAATGCGGAAAACAGTTTCCGCATAAAATTAATATTTTATGGAAATTGTTATACTTTGTTTTTTAGGAAATAAAAATCTTTTCAAATGTCTTTGTCATCAATTTAAAGTGTCCTTTCTGAATAAAAGTTTGAATAAAAAGAATTGTAAAAAATCTTACTGACGCCACCTTTTGAATGATAGTGTATATAAACAAGTTTAGATTTATTTATTTATAATTAATCAAGTAATTGACAAGGAAATGCTAGCTATGAAACCTTAGCAAGACAAACGAGTCAGCCATTTTCCAAAAACGTTTAGAATGTAATTTTCACCACAGAATGTTATTAAACACGACACATTTCAGATGTGATGAAAATGTTCATGACTTTGACACAAAATTACAACACTCTCCAATGATATATGTATATCTGCTCTTGGTTGGTAGACAAATGAAAATAAGAAGTATGTTTTAAGAGAGTTTATTTAAATTCACAGGGCTAAAAATGGCCAGAAACACCCGTTGGCTATTTAGCACCTACACTTACGGGGCCTCAGAGCTCAGCTTGTATGTTCAGAAATTAATTATATTAGACAAGAGCAAATATAGGTCATGTGGAATTAGCAATGCAGACACTTTTCCTCTCTGTCCCTCTTCATCTACATCTCTCTTAAAGAGAGATAGTTCACTCAAAAATAAAAATTGTCATGATCTGCTCACCATCATGACATTTCAGACCAGACCTGAAAACCTCTCACTTTTTCTGGGTATCTGTTGTTCTTTTTCAGTATATTACTCTATTACTTGAAATATAACTTGTCTTCATTCTGTTATCTGAATATCAACATATGAGAAGGGGTATTCATTAAACATGAATCCGATTTCAGGAGGAGATTACAAAGCAATTTTCGAAAGAAAAAAAATAACATTCTGTTTTTTGTTGTAATATTGAGTTTGATGTTGAAGGGATAGTAAAACTGATTACAGTGATATCTATGCATCATTACGCGCTGATGGGCCTCACAAATGGCTTCAGAATTCATTCTAAAGCAGTTTACATCCTATTACGACTTCATTACACAGGGCGCGTATTGCTTATGGAGTATTGATATCAAATGTTATTGTTCCCTCATCGTTTTGTGTTTCATCAGCCCTCCGGCCCGCTCATCTCACACACAAACACGCATGTACACACGCTCTCCGCTCGGCCTCAGGTGTTTGGGCACAGCTATTACTTTATCAGGCTGTTTTTTCCTGCTCATTCAAATGGCTCCCTGATGAACGGCGCCCCCGCGTTCTACAGAGAGAGATTTTAATTCGTATTATTATTAAAAGAATCACTCACTGCAATCTGTTGCAAAAACACCATCTGCTGGATCACTCGTAGGACCTCCGTTGCTTATTAGGCAGAATTAGACAATGATTTCCTCTCCTCTGCTTTGCATTCCTTCTCCCTCCTCTCTCAACTAATTCAACTTAAGTTGTTTTATGGCACTTCGCAACGAGCTTTTCTGCTGCATTTCATTCTAGTGATTAATTCCCAGATGCCATGTGTTTTGGGATGAGCTCGGAGTGATTGGCAGAGGGGTTAACTCTTTAACGGCCTGGGAAGAGATGGGATTTTGTGCAGGAGTTTTGTCTGTAGGTGTGGAGGCAGTCAGACTGGCGGGAGCACGGCGTTCGAATCTGGACTGCGTCATATCCGAATCCCCGCCGCCCTTTCATTTTCTATCTCGCACTCATTGTAATATAAATTTAAAACACCCCTATACATGTTTTCTTACAACTGTTCTCTTAGTCTATTTTAGGATGATTTTTTTGCAAATATTTAAAATATTTATTTAAAAAGTATTTATATGCACATCGTGATGGTATATATCGTTCCAACTTGAATTTGTGCAAATTTAATTAAAAAAACAATTATTACAGTAATGTTGTCAAATTAAACGAGCTAAAAATTAAAACATTCAGACACATTAAAGTAATGAGTAAATGTGTCATAAAATAATGTCACAATACAATAAATATTATGTCACGAATTGCTACTGTGGGGAGAGAAGGAACGCGGAGACGCAGGAGATTGACGAACAACAGTCTTTAATTATTCAAAACCAGGGATAACACAAGGCAGACAGGAACACACACATAGCACATTGCATTGACGACACCGGACAAAGGAATCACAGAACAGACTACACTATAAATACTAGACTTAACGAGAGAATAAACTAGACACACCTGAACCAAATAACTAATCAGACAAGGGAGAAACTAGGTCATGAAGCACGTGGGGGAGGAAAACAAACACAAAACAGTCCATGGGCGTGACATTACTGTAACACCATAACAATTCCACCGGGGAGGGGGGGCGGGCGCTCTAGGGACAGGCTTACATGAGACGGACGGCCTCCAGAGCAGTACCCGTTCCGGGACCCATGGCGGATCAGGCAGTTCAGGGAGCCATGTCGGGGCAGGCAGCTTGGGGAGCCATGGCGGAGCAGGCAGACTAGAGAGCCATGGCGGAGCAGACAGTTCAGGGGGTCATGGAGGAGCAGCCAGTTAAGGAGGCCATGGCGGAGCAGACAGTTCAGGAGGCCATGGCGGGAAAAAAAATTACTTTGGCGAAATTTCGGGTTCTGAGGCCCTCCGTGGCCTGTCGTAGGAGCAGCGACCCTCCCTGGGCTTGACTCGGGAACTGGGGCCCTCCCTGGGCTTGACTCAGAAACAGGGGCCCTCTCTGGGAACGGGAGCCCTCTTCGGGCTTGACGTGGGGACGGGAGCCCTCCCTGGGCTGGACATGGGAACAGGAGCCCTCTCTGGGCTTAACCTGGGAACTAGAGCCCTCCTTTGGCTGGATGTGGGAACGGGAGCCCTTTCAGGAGCGGACTCAGGGGCTGGAGCCGACACCGGAGCAGACCCAGTGGCTGGAGCCGACACCGGAGCGGACTCAGGTGCTGGAGCCAACACTGGAGCGGACTCAGGGGCTGGAGCCAACACTGGAGCGGACTCGGGCTGGAGCCGACACTGGAGCGGACTCAGGGGCTGGAGCCCACAGTCTCTTCCTCCACATCCTCCTCTTTTGGGCAGAGGTGGAGGAGAATACTGCTGTCATCCTAGGGCTTGGAAGTGAATTGGCCGGCGGGCTTGTCTGCTGAGCGGCCGGCGGGCTTGACGATGGAGCGGTTCTGGATCGGGGCCGGACGCTCCCCAGATACCGGAGGATCCCTTCCCTCCAGCTCAGTCCCTTGGTGTCTGGGAGGTCGACGGGGCGATGGTAGTTGGCCCCGATTCAGAACAGAGAATTCAATGTGGCGTCATCCAACGTCGTCTTAACGGCGAGCCCACAGAACTCCCTGGCGTACTCCACAAACAGAAGATCTCTGCGGGCTAGGGCGGCGAATCTCACGGCGATTTCCATGATCGTGGAGGGGAAAAACAGAAAACAAAACACTTTCAAAAAAAGGAAACAAAAACGAAGAGAAGGGGCGCCGCTTACTGTTCGGTCCGGTGTTCTGTCACAAATTGCTACTGTGGGGAGCGAAGGAACGCGGAGACGCAGGAGATTGACGAACAACAGTCTTTAATTATTCAAAACCAGGGATAACACAGGGCAGAGAGGAACACACACATAGCACATTGCATGGACGACACCGGACAAAGGAATCACGGAACAGACTAAACTATAAATACTAGACTTAACGAGAGAATAAACTAGACACACCTGAACCAAATAACTAATCAGACAAAGGAGAAACTAGGTCACGGAGCACGTGGGGGAGGAAAACAAACACAAAACAGTCCATGGGTGTGACATTTTAATAATAACACTACCGTTCAAAAGTTTGGGTATTAGATTTTTTTTTAAATAAATTCATTGCTTTATTCAGAAAGGATGCATTAAATTGATTGAAAGTGACAGTAACGACTTTTTACATTCTTGCCAAAAGATTTTAATTTCAAATAAATGCTGTCCCCAAAACAAAATCAAGACTTTGTAAAAGAGCATAATAGGACCCCTTTAAACTTTCTATTCAAAGAATTCTGAAAAAAAAAAAATAGTATCACTGTTTTCACCAAAATATTCAACATTAATTTATACAGTAAAAAAAAAAAAAATGTTTGAGCACCAAATTAGCATATTTGAATAATTTTTTAAAGAATCCTGTGACACTGAAGACTGGAGTAATGACTGCTGAAAATATATTACATTTTTTATCATTATTTTTGATCAAATAATGTTTGATCAAATAATGTCTCGTGATTCAGAACGTTATAATATATTTGCATAGTACAAATCAAAATTTTATTTTAAAAGTGCAAGAGAAGCCCTGGTTTTGGATTCTACCCATGTATTCTCCAGTCTTGTCTCTGTGATTACATGTGGAGTACTGGCTCTGTTTAGGGATCCAGACTCTCACTCAATCTCCCTCTCTATCTCTCTGCTGTCCCCAGGCGGCAGCGAGTCATCCTGGGATAAAGAGAAACTCCAGTCCCCCCCCTCCTCCAGAGCCCAGCATGGTCTTGCTCACGCCTTCCTCTCCGCTCAGCACGGCCTGTCAGGGTCTCATCTCTCTTCCCTACAACAGAGTCATCTCCTGGCTAACCGTGAGTCATTCATTCATCACATCCACTCATTCACTCGATCACCAGCTCCAGGTGTATTGATTACGCTCAGCCCGATTGAGCTACACGTCGTGTTAGTCATTCATTCTTGGGATCAGTGCATACTCCCGTTCAGGCTGCCCATTTAGACTGTTCTCCAAGTCACAGTATTGTATAGTGTATTCATGACTAGCAAGTGTTCTTCATGGTTTTTTTAAAGACAACATGAAACATTTCAAACACATTTTACTTCTGTAATGTGACATTTTTGGAGTGAAACTGAGAGGAAAACATTGATTTTATCCATTGGGATTTGACTGGATTGTAAAATATGAGCTATGATATTTAATATTGTATTCCCTCACCTACAAAATCTTAGGTACATAACTATAAAAGAGAAGTTATTTGAAAAACAGAAAAAGTATTATTGTGACACTGAAATGTATAAAGTGCTATATAAATACGTAAGTAAATAAATAATTCATTTTCTTGTTTAGCATAACAAATCTGCACTGACTAAATCAAAACATTTATTAAAGGTGAATTGTGGAATTGTAAAAAATAATGAATGTTTTCGAACATGTTTCCTGAACAGGCCCCCCTCTATCATTGGTCAGACAACCTGATAGTCCCGCCCCCAACTTTATGCCATTGGTCGAGCCAGTGTTGCTGTGTCAGGCTGGTGTGATTGTTTTTATAGAATATTTTAACAACACCTTTAAATTAGAAAAAAAGTCTGTATTCATAGTTTTCAGTCACATGACTGGCGTAGAGACCTGGAGGGCAAAACATCCACAGAACTGCAGCACAGGCCGGTCAATTTACCATCTGTTTCAAGCCACAAATATTTAGATCTCTTCTCAAAAGAAGAAAAACAAAGATATGTGAACAAACTGAAAGTCATACAGCACCTGCCGCAGTATTTCAATCACTAAAACAGCAGGACCTTCTATAACAGTGATATTATTCGATCAAATTCAATGATGAAGCATGTTATATACAGGCAAGCAGATGAGCCCAGAATATGAATGAAACTTTGTGCGTTGCGTTCATGTTCTGGGTTCATCTGCTTGCCTATACATAGCATGTTTTATTAATAATCTAAATGCTGAATTTGGTCCCATTAAACCACATTAAGCATGTTCTTCATACTGGTTTTCTATGGGAAAATGCTTAACATGCAAGTTAACGGTGTTTTAGTTTTGCCCTCCAGGTGGGCATCGCTGTAAGGCTGTGACATCATGTGAAAACTATATATTTATTTCATGTTGCCTTTAAATATAAAGTGAGGTAAACAGAAGTGATTAGTGCATCGCGGTCACCGTTTACCAACTAAGTTCCATATAAACAGTCTCTCCCTGTCTCTGTTGTGGTCTTTCAGGGCTGGACCTGCCGTTTATGATGATGCCCCACCCCCTGTTGCCCGTCAGTCTGCCGCCTGCCTCCGTTGCCATGGCGATGAACCAGATGAACCACCTGAACACCATCGCCAACATGGCCGCAGCTGCTCAGATGCACAGCCCCCTGTCCAGAGCAGGAGCGTCCGTCATCAAGGTAACGCAGGCAGCCACAAAGTTGAGACTTCAGCGGCCAAACGCAGAGAAGTCATTCATTAGGGCTCTAATGTGCACTCAGATCTCTCAGCTAGAGTCAGCTCATTTTCACCGCGTGCACAGCGCATCAGTCAGAGTACTGCCGATCCCCTCGGATTGGTGTCTCGCTCCGATGATACGTTAGATACGAGCTGGTCTCGCTCTACGAGCCATTTAACGCCTGGGAGAGAGCTGTATACCAAACCATCTTAATTTCTACAAGAGAGAGTTTGATTTGAAATACTCAGAGGAGGAATAACAGAATAAATGTTGTGTTGGGTCCGTGCGGAGCGCGTGTTAGGGAATATTAGATGCAGACTTTAAAGACAAACACTATCTGTTATCTTACTGCCATGTTCCCCCTGAGAGGAGAGTGTGTGAGTCAATTTACAGTTGGAGGAGGACACTTGTGTGTTTCTCCGAGATGCAGAAATGGCCTGAGGCGTACAGTACACACACACTTTTACATGGAAATTCACCGCCACACACAAACGCACTTAAAATAGCAACAGCTTCCGTCTGGGTACCACTATATAACATACAGAATGTGTTTGAGTTTTGTTGATACCTCTGGAGATTTAATGGACTTCTTAGTTATGTTTCATTTAAGAATCAACTTTGTCCCGGATGTTTCTCCTAAAAATCTTTTGGAAAAATAAATAGACGCAATGAGGAAATTACTGTAGAGAATGAATGAAAATTTAGTTTTGGAAGAATGTGATGAGAAATTGCTGTCTAGAAGAAATATTTAAGAGATATTATTCAAGAGATTTTATTTGTGAGTTTTTTGTGGAAAAATGCAGTGTTGATGGAAATCTTAAATCACTTGCATTATCATAATAGTGTTATTTTAGTATCATTGATATACTATTAAAGTTTCTGTTAATATTTTGAATTAGATTCTATTTTTACATTGTGTTTTCACTATAGGTTTATAGGTTTAGTAATTTTGTTGTGTTTTTGTCATTTTTAAAATATGTCTATATTATATTACTTTTTTAATAGTTTTAGTTTATTAGTATATTAGTTATTTTAGTACTTCATCTTAAACCAAAACGAGAAATAAAATAAGTGAGTTTTTATATTTTATTTCAGTTAACATTTACTTTTTTTTTTTCAAGCAACAGTTTTTTTTTTTTTATGGTTTATTTTGTTGTGTTTTTGTCATTTTTAAAATATGTCTATATTATATTACTTTTTTAATAGTTTTAGTTTATTAGTATATTAGTTATTTTAGTACTTCATCTTAAACCAAAACGAGAAATAAAATAAGTGAGTTTTTATATTTTATTTCAGTTAACATTTTCTTTTTTTTTTTCAAGCAACAGTTTTTTTTTTTTTATGGTTTTGGTTTTAGTTTTGTTCATTTAAAATGGCAGGCCTGTTGGAGTCATTTGTAAAGAATATGTGAACTGAATCTTTGTGTGTGTGTGTGTCAGGAGTGTGTACAGGACAGTCCGTCTCCTGCTCCGTCTCTGGAGGAAACCCCTCATCCCGGATCACAGCCCTCTTCCCACCCAAGCAGTAGTGTGTCCAGCTCCCCAAACCCACACACACAGAGTCCTGAACGCCTGGGTCAGTACAGACACACAATACTATACACATTTAGCTTAAATATGTCTAATACCCCTCATAGACTGATTGTTTTCTATAAAGCCAATTATAATGACTACAGACTAAGCCACCCACAAAAGAATGAAAAAGGCATAATAAAACAAAGATATTAGATTTACAAATGACAAAATGCTCCCAATGGTAGGCAATTACATCCCTATCAGAATTACATCACTTCTGGGACAACTAGATGCATGCTTTCTCTTTATGTGTGCAGTTTTGAATCCAACCGATGGAGAGCTGCCAGAACGAGATACCGGCATCAATATGAAGAAAATCCTTAAAGAGAAAGGTTAGTTCCTCAACAGCACACTAAAACACTGTCTACACCACATAAGTGCAGTCACATTAAAACATTTATTTTGTTTGCTAAAAAGCTTAATTGTCAGTAGTGTAGCAATGCATCAAGCACCTTTGTCAGTCAACGCAACAAATTTGTGAAAAAAACCTCGTGTAAAATCTCCAGGAGGGAATTTTTCATCTTTTTGCGTAATTCCCGATCGACTGAAATGACTGGATTTCACCTGTGAAATTTTGCAATACAGCAGTAAATGAACACTGTATCCTAACCAGGTGTAATGCAAATTTCAATTGTCAAATGTGACCGTGGACCACAAAACCAGTCATAAGGATCAATTTTTCGAAATTGAGATTTATACTTGGTCTGAAAGCTGAATAAATAACCTTTCCATTGATGTATGGTTTGTTAGGATAGGACAATAATTGACCAAGATACAACTATTTGAAAATCTGGAATCTGAGGGCGCCTTTAAATTTATCCAAATGAAGTTCTTAGCAATGCATATTACTAATCAAAAATTAAGTTTTAATATATTTACAGTAGGAAATGTACAAAATATCTTCATGGAACGTGATCTTTAATTAATATCCTAATGATTTTTGGCATAAAAGAAAAATCTATCATTTTGACCCATACAATGTATTTTTGGCTATTGCTACAAATATACCCCAGCGACTTAAGACTGGTTTTGTGCTCCAGGGTCACAAATAATATCGCTTTCCTCATTGAAAGTGAAAATACTTTTATTTTACTAACAAATCGTGATTCACCAATAATGGGTTTTTTACTTAAATTTGATCTACATTTACAGAAAAATATAGAAACAACTGAAACCATATGTACATAACAGTCACTTCGGGTGGCCTTATAAACTGTGGGTTTTCAAAATGAAACTGAATACATAGGTATTTTTTATTATATATCTCAAATTCGGAAGTTTCCTGTGCCCGTAAAAACAAATAATCCCACAATTATTATTTTGTTGTAGTAACAATACAAAAACCCATGTGTAAGACACACCACTCAGATGTGAGATGTAGAGCACATTTTCAACATCGTCTCAGGAACAATGTAGTAAACGCAGCCGTCTCCTAGATGATGCCGGTTTAGCACTGACGAGTGTATTGACATCACACATAACATTTGAATGCGGACTGATGCTTGTTAGTGAAATTTAGACCCCGTTGGTTTAGACTGGCAATATATCAGCATCACAACACTTCTCTTTTAATTAATGACTTAATTAGGAGCTTAACTGAACATGTATGAAGTTCATATTTACGGCCTGTGTGAGTAGATGAGTGTAAGAGAGCTGTTAGAGCAGCTAAGTGCGTAATTCATCATTATAAGAAAATGTTTTCTTCTTTTTCTATGACGCAATGATACGCAGGTGTGTGTGTGAAAATCTCGAATGTTATGGTGTGTGTGGGCACCGTTTCTGGAGTGTAACTTGTGTGTGTTGGTACAGCAGGTGGCGGCCCCTAACGCACATCACACACGGGGCTGCTGGGAGGAGACGATGCGAAGATGCCCCGAGGCTCTCTTAAAGAGATTCAGTGTGCACCTGGCCTCCGACCATATTTTATTAATGCGTCTGGAAAAGAACACCCTAAACACACACACACAAATGTGTGAACACCGCAAACTGCTCTTGTTTTTAAAAGTGCAGCATGCCGCATTTAATGCAGGGTTGAGAACAGAATGCAGGACCCAGGAAATTTAGGTCACTGACCGCATATACTCTCACACAATGACTCTTACATGTTCTTAATCTCTCCCGCTCATTCCAGGATAGTCCAAACTCACGACTTCTGCACTACTTTATCCAATCTGAGCGTCAGTTTAACCTACATACACACAGCAGCGGGCCGCTCTGAACACCTGAGAGGATTGACTTCGTAAAGATTTGCTATGATTATATCAAATATGTCTGCTCTAGTTTACTTCTGCAATGTGCTGTCCAATTGTATTACATGCTGCTATGAATTCTCTTCTGTTCTTGTTAGTGTGTCTTTTCATTGACCAGTAATTCTTTTTGTATCTTCCTTCTCTAAGTACCTATTAATCTTTATTTTTGCATTTTTTCAGTTTAATGTATTAGAATGACATATTTGACCCAGAACGGACAGAAGATGTTGAACTCTCATATCAGAAAAGCTCATTTTTATATTTTCTGCAGAAAGTGTGAGTGATGTTTGCATGAGCAAAACTCGCCACCACGATGCTTGGGTGTTCTGTGCGGTTGCCAGGATGTTGCTGTGCAGTTGCTAGGATGTTGCTTATTGGCCGAAGTCTCTATGATATTCTGGCCCCTACATATGGTCTATGGGATTTTTCACATTTTTAATCGCCTGACAGGTGAAAGTCTAGTCACTCAGAAAAATAATAACACGTATGTCTTCAAAAAGCAGCATAATTTGAGGTTTCCATTTGTAGAATAAATGGTGAGGGAATGTTTTATAAAGTACAGTTTAATTCCTAAACTTTTAGTGTAATATCCCTTTATTTTGGTAGCAAAAGTAAAAGTAAAGAAAAAGTATGGTGGTCACATTAGCAAAATTTCGGCGAGATCCATTGCCTATTGTCAACAGTGTAACAATACACGAGGCACATCTCACAAACAAGTCATTTTTAAACCAATCAGTTTTCTGTTGAACACTTGAACCTGATGTGAAATCCACGCAGCCAAATCGTCCGCCTTCACGCAAAAGTCCCAAACACGTGGATTTTATTTAAAAGACTGGATTTCGTCTGTGAACATTTTTTTTTTAATTCTTCGCAACCTCAAATCTAAAGTTAACAACCTAAAGTTAAAAAGATCAGGGACTCACAAACGTAGATTACTCGGGGCCCATTTTCCCGAGTCCTCACGAAAGGGCCATTGAATTTTAAACACTGTTTGGCCTCTGTGTGTGTGTCGGTGATGATAAACAAAGTGACGTGGTGGTACGTGGTGATGAATGGTGAAGCCCGGGGCCAGGAGCACTGTGTTTCAATGGGACTTTAGCGAGTGAACCCCCTCTCTAGCTCTCCATAAATCACTCGTTCTCTCTACCTCTCTTTCACTCAGGGCTGGTTGAATGCCAACAGGAGCTGCTCTCACTGCAGGCAGGGTCTCTCCTTTCTTCCATTAAAGAGCAAAAGGAAATTCTGATATTATTCTGTGTGGTTTTGGTTCATGTGCGAAGCATTTAGCACACACTAACATCAATCTTACAATCAGGCCACTGACTCTCACAGGCCTTTGAGAAAAGTGTGACCAAGCCATGCAGCGGGAATGCGAAACGGAATGCTTTTCCACACATCAGTGACATTAGATATGGCCTATTATTACTGTTAACTGAATCCCAAATTATTTTGTGAGCAGAAGCCAAGCGACCAGAGCTGAGAGGCTAATGTTTAGGAGGACAATTTAGAGCCATTCAAACTAAGAAAGTGTTAGTAATTTGACTTCTTGTTGGCTAGAATGTTTCATTTACACCTTGATTAGGATGAAATATAAGTCCATAATCTGGATTTAAATTTGACTAATTCACCAACAAACATAACAGACCTGACAGTATGCTATGCAGGTACCAGTGTGTTTCTCATTGGTGTTTGTTTGTGAGATCACTTCATTGTACACATAAAGTCTAGTCCAGTGTCAAGTCTATACGTGTTGTATGATAGTGTGCTAATGTATTTGGCTTGAGCTGATGTGAAGCACTTTGGCTATAGAAGCACTTAGTGTACGTTTGTGTGTGCGAGAAGAAGCATGGGTAGGCCGAGACTTGCACTCCGTAATTGCTCTGTCCAGTTTTCCACAGAGTAGATATGTAGCATCTGGTTACAATCAATGTTTCCCTCCGCTATTATGAAATTAGCTGCGCGGAAATGATTTGAAATGGCCTGTAATGATTTCTGATAGAAATGTGCGCCATTGTTTCACCCTTTGAGATAAGCGTGCTGGTAAATAAGTCACAACAAACAAAACGATCGCTTTACCTCGTTCCAAATCAGGGATCAGGCCTCAAACGGCAAGCGCTTGGCTTTTCGAGCCTCGTATTTTTAATCTTCATTTTTGTTTGTTTATTCGCAAGCTCCTCCTTCAGATATGTGCAAAGGGGACCATCCATGGGCTTTGAAGACCCTTTTTGATCATTAGTTTGATTGCTGTTCTAAGCGCGTTTGTGATGGTTTAATTAAACCAAGACCCTTTGCGGGGCCCCAGCGGCCCTCGAGAGCTCTCCGGCTGGAGGGTTTGAGGGTCTGCTCGCGGCGCGCAGCTTTTCTCTTTGTGTTAATGGCGAGGAATAGATATTAGGCGAGGAAAATCAATGACATGTTGGAAAGAAAAAGTAAACTGTTACAGTTAGCAATTTGGGGCAAGGTTAGCGCGGTTGAAAGTCACCCCACAAAAGCGACATTTTTGGACGAGAACACAAGTGATAAATTATGTGCGCTCTATCTCCTCCTCTCTCCCGCGCACACACACACAGATGAAGGCAGAGAGGAGGAGAAGGGTGAGGACAGGTGCTTGTGTTCTGCTCTGGTTCTGAGGGAAGAGTTGGAACAGGTTTTTGTCTCTCAGGCTTGCGCGCTCTCCTGTGCGGTGTCACTATCGCATCCGAAGTAAAGTTGCCCCGAGGCAGACAGAGATAGTCGTACCGATAAAAGAAAACAATACACGAGCCAGAATTAAATAATGCCAATTACCAGTTTACAGAGAAAGCAAAGCCATGAACACATAGACATGCACAGGTCTAACTCTACATCATATACATAAAAAATTGTCCTTTAGTTTATTAAAGCAATAAGCCCCAAGAAACCGTGGTTTACAGTGAATTTATAACAGCTAAGGGGCGTTGTTAGACCCCTTAGCTGTTATAAATTCACTGTAAACCACGGCTTCACAGGGATTATTGCTTTTATAAAACGGTTATTCCATATACGTAGTAAGGTTTCACAGAATAAAACAGAGCAAATAAAGTGTAATGATATAAATAAAAACA